AATTTGTGGTTGTCTATGTTTGTGTCCATGGCACCCGCGACACAGGGTTTCCCTAGTAGTAGTAGTAGTAGTAGTAGGCTATGTTGAGCGTGTGCGTTATATCAATCATTTGTTTTTTTTTTTATATCATCACAAACATTTAATATCTGGAAGTTACACCATGCGTTCGAATCATCTGTATCAGAGGTTCTCAAACTAGTTTGTCTCGTTGGCCACTTGACATTTTTTCTGTTTTGCGTAGCCCCAAACAAATAAAGGTCAGCTTCGACAGCCGACACAGTGCTCCTCGGTTTGATGAAATTCACTATACTGTAAGAAACTTTATAAAAAAAACATCTGTTAAGTTTTATACATTTCACTACCATAATTACTTATAAGTTTAAAAAAAAGTTCGTGTAACTACATTTATTTGCTAATTCTATTGAAATTGATGACCGGAACGTGCGCGAATCCGGATTCATCCCCTAGTTTGCCACCCTTCTAGGTGCAATATGCTCTTCAAATTTACATGGGGCTAGACTGGGGGTGCTCTTCCCAACAAAAAAATCATCAAAATCGGTTCACAAATGCCGGAGTAATCGCGTAACATATACACTAAATGAAATACATTCGAATTGAGAAACTCCTCCTTTTTTGACGTCGGTTAGAAATATAGCATAAAACCTTAATGCTCCGCAATTATGCTAAAATAGACAAAAATGCCCTTTTCGATGATGTGCTGAATTCTGATTGGGAGCTAGTGTTTGGAGCGGAGGACGTGAATGAAATGGTTCAAGCTTTTAACTCCATTATTTTGACCATCTTTGACAAGCATGCTCCTCTTCAAGTTGTCCGAGTCAAACATTTCCCCGCGCCTTGGCTCACGCCAGATATCAAGGAGGTTATGGAGAGGCGCAACAGAGCACGTATCAGATTGCGGAAGAATCCAACCAAAATCAATAGTGAGTCCTACATCGAGTTACGTAACCGCTGCAACAAGCTCTGTAGGAGCGCCAGGCGTAAGCATATTCACTCCACTATCGAAGGTTGTCCGCATACTAAGATGTGGAAATATTTGAAGTCACTGGGTATCGGTAAAGCTGATCATGTCTTTCCCTTCAATGTCGATCTTAACGCGCTGAACGACTACTTTGCATCTTCCCCAGTATGTTTAGATTCTGTCATAAAATCGCGAACTTTATCTGTCCTGGCCAATGCACCTTGTCTTGCTTCAGCTTCTTTTGATTTTGGAAAGGTTACGACAGCAGATGTGTTGAAAATACTTAAGTCTGTCACCACGAAGGCTGTTGGTAATGACGGTTTGAGTCTTGACATGATCACTCCAATACAGGACCTAGTAGCTCCTATCCTAGCTCATATCCTTAATTTTTCCCTTTCCAGTGGTGTGTTTCCCGCTGTATGGAAACAAGCCCATGTAATTCCTCTCCCTAAAAAATCAAATCCTTCTTCTTTCTCCCATTACCGCCCTATCTCCATACTTCCTGTATTGTCCAAAATCCTTGAGCACTATGTCCATAATCGACTCACTAACCACCTCCTACGTTACGATATTTTCAACCATCTGCAGTCTGGTTTTCGAGCGGGCCATAGCACAGTTTCTGCTCTGGTGAAAATCACTGACGACATTCGTCTTAACATAGAAAATAAAAAAGTTACTGTCCTCACTTTATTGGATTTTAGCAGTGCCTTCAGTACTGTTGATTTTAATTTGCTTCTTGCTGTGCTTAGAACTTTAAATCTACCTCCCTTAGCCGAATCCTGGTTTCGTTCGTATTTATTTGATCGTTCCCAGCTCGTAAAGACCGGTGACATGCACTCGGACTGGTGTAGCCTTACGGCTGGCGTTCCGCAGGGTGGGGTTTTATCACCTATACTTTTTTCGGTCTTTATCGGTGGAATTACATCATCACTCACGTCTTCTTTCCATCTCTATGCCGATGACCTTCAAATCTATACTGCAGCCCGTCTTGAAGATGTAGTTACTGCTATCGGCACATTGAATTCCGACCTACAAAAGGTTTCGGTATGGGCTAAGAACTACGGACTTCTTTTAAATGCACAAAAGTCCCAAGCCATAATTATTGGCAGTCGCCATTCCATCTCCAAGTTTGAGTCTATGGTGATGCCCAATTTAGTTCTGAATGACACTATTATTCCTTTTTCCACTTCAGTTAAAAATTTGGGCATCATAATGGATCAGACACTTTCTTGGTCGGAGCATGTCGCCGATGTAAGTCGTAAAATCTTTGCATCACTTCATTCCCTCAAGCGGATGCAGTACTTTCTTCCTCTGTCTACCAAATTTATGCTAATACGCACTCTTCTTTTTCCTATTCTGGACTATGGTGACGTCTCCTATCTTGATCTTTCGGAGGACCTTCTTAATAAATTGGAGCGGCTGCAAAATCAATGTATCAGATTTGTGTTTGGATTAAAAAAGTACGACCACATTTCCAAGTTTAGAGATGAGTTGAAGTTGTTGCCTATTCGTTTACGTAGAAATGCTCACATTTTATGCTTCCTCTATAAAATCCTGTTCCATCCCACTTCACCTAGCTATCTACGTGAGCGTTTTCAATACCGTCAGGCTATGGGTGACCGCCTGCGTTCTGGCACCAATTTGTCCCTCGTCCTTCCACAACACAGTTCCCAAAAATATTCGAACTCGTTCACAGTAAATGCTGCCCGTATGTGGAACCTTCTCCCGGTCGAGGTCAGACAGTCGCTTTCGGTTCGGGTTTTCAAGGGTGCTCTTTTGAAGTTTTGGGATTGTTCAGACTCCACATGTTAGAGCTTTTGAAATATTTATTTACTTTTGATATATTTATTTATAGTTTTATTTTGTACATTCAATTTATTATAGACTTTGAATGAATGAATGAATGAATGAATGAATGAATGAATGAAATATTCTTTATTGCACATAAAATTACAATTAAAATACAATACAAAAGCTTAAGTATAATAGTAGTAGTAAGTCAATGTGCAACAGGCGGCCTTATTGCTATGTAGCAATTTCTTCCAGGCAACCTTAGGATAGACATTTCGGATATGCAAAAGGGGTGCAACCAAAGAATATCATCATAAGTACACTACATAATAAGTAATAATAAAAATATATACATATCCATAGATTAATATACATTTACATACAAATAACAATAATATTATTAATACATACATAACAATAAATACACAATAATATTAAATGCTTATATACTTTTAATAGAAAAAGAAAAATGAAGTACAAATGTAGGAAATAAATGAAAGGATAGTAGAGAACAGACGAAATTTAGGAGTTGAGGAAGTGATCCTTGACACGTTGTTTGAAGGAATCAAGAGAAGGGGATCGTCGAATCGATTCAGGGAGAGAATTCCACAATCTGATCGCAGAAATGGTAAAAGAGTTGGAATAAAAGTTAGAGGTATGAGAGGGCAAGTTAAGTAAGAGAGTATCAGAGGAGCGAAGGGGACGACAGAGTGTAGAAGAGTGGAAAGTAAAGCGATCTTTAAGATAAGAAGGCGTAAAGGGATAGAACAGAATTGAATAGAGAAGTGAAAGAATATGAAGATCTCTACGCCGATGGATGGGCAGCCATTTAATTTGTGCGCGAAATTGGGAGACATGGTCAAATTTACGTAGTCCGAAGATGAACCTAACACACATATTTTGGAGCCGTTCCAATTTATTGAGCAGAGTTACTGACAAATCTGGGTAGCAAACATCTGCATAGTCCAGTATCGGGTGGAGAATGCTCTGGGCCAGAGTAATTTTGGTTTTAGTCGGCAAAAAGTTTTTAAGCCTTCTCAGAGAGAAATGCGCACCAAACACCTTCCTGCTAACCTCAGCAACTTGCGGCTTCCAAGTCAGACATTTATCAAAAATTACCCCCAAATTCCTGACTGTATCCAAATAAGGAATACAGACACCATCGAAAACCACAGGGGGTAAGGAGGCTAGATTTAGACGAGAATTGAACCAAGTGCTACCTATAATAATCGATTGTGTTTTGGATGGATTAACTTTAAGGCCAAAGGACTGACTCCATTGACGAATGGATTCAAGGTCCACATTGGTAGTACTAATGGCACGTGGTAAGTCTTGAATAGACGACTGGGTGTAAATCTGGAGGTCATCAGCATAAAGATGATAAGAAGAAGTGAGGGATTGTGTGATAGAGTTAATAAACAAAGAAAATAAGAGAGGAGAAAGGACGCCACCCTGCGGGACACCGGCGGAAATATCGCACCACGTAGAGAAAGAATTCTCATTGCGTACCACTGCCGACGTCCACAGAGGTAGCTTCGAAACCAATCAATAACTGCTGGAGATATGTTAAGAATACGCAATGCCTCCAATAATAGGTCAAAGTCAACACAATTGAAGGCATTACTGAAGTCAAGGAGTGTCAGCACAGTCATTTGTTGATTTTCCATACCCAAACGGATGTCATCAGTGATTTTCGTGAGTGCAGTAGTCGTACTATGACCAATGCGGAAACCAGACTGGAGAGGATTGAAAAGGTTGTTCCTGTTTACGAAATTAGTCAACTGACAGTGAACAAGCTTTTCTAGGACTTTCGACAGGAAAGGAAGAATTGAAATAGGACGGTAGTCTGAAGGGAAGTTTGGTTTGGTTTTTTTTGGTAATGGAATGACATAAGCGTCTTTCCAGGCAGAGGGGAAAACACAGGTAGAGACAGATTTATTAAGGATTTTAGTTATGACGGGAGTGAGGAGATCGAGGAGCGGAATGATCATATTACGACTAATGCAATCACTGCCTACAGCATTGGAAGCGATAGCTAAAACGTTTTTCTTAACATCACAGTCAGTAAATTGATTAAGAACAAAAGATGAATAGTCAGGAGTTGGTAAAGATGAAAGATATAGCAAAGTGTTGTCCTTGACTGAACAGTCAAAGACAGGCGCAGATGAAAAGTGATTATTAAGGGTATCTAGATTCAGGTCTAAAGAAGAATTATTACTATGAGATTTACCAACTCCAAGCGACTTAAGGAAATTCCAAATTTTAGTGGGGTTACCATTTTCGATGGATGTGTGGATGTGGCGTCGCTGAGCATCCCTAATCAATGTGTTGCAGCGATTTCTGATTCGGTGATATTTTTTGCAATTCGCATCAGATGGTTCAATTTTGTATCTGGTTTTCGCACGATTCTTCTTCTCCATATAACTTCGAAGGTCATTACTCAGCCACGGTGCAGGAAGGCGCCTGATCCGAACGGGTCGAACTGGTGCATGTACATCATAAAGGTGAGTCAGTAGCGATGTAAATAACTCGACCTGTTCATCCACCGAACCAACACTGTCCACTACTGACCAGTCAACTCTACTCGCGTCTTCACGCAATCGATCTAAGTCCATGGCTCCAAAATTACGTTGTAGGAGAATTTTAGGCTTAGCCTTGGGCACGCGCACCCTATACGACAGGTACACGAGGTCGTGATAGGAAAAGGCATCAGCCGTGAATTGACCATGCTTGGTGACAAGTTCGGGAGAAGAGACTGCTATGAGGTCCAGAAGAGAGGGAGTACAGTTAGGAAAATGATGCGTAGCGTTAGATGGAAGAATATGTAAGTTACAGGAATTTATAACAGAACGAAGACTGCTCGAACGTGAATCATTTTTATGAAGGCAAGTATTAAAATCACCCATCAAAATGGTATGATCATATGAAGGAGCAAAGTCTTCAAGGAGCTTTTCAAGAGCGGAAAAGTAGTCAATTCTTAGAGATGGGCAATAGTAAACTCCCAGAAGTAGTTTATGATGAGACAAAGTAACTTCCAGAAACAGATGTTCTGCAGTATCAGGTGGAGGGGGTTGAGGTGAAGTACTGAGGATTGCAAAAGGAATATGGCTACGAAGATAAATGGCTACCCCACCATGTGAAGAACTAGCACGGTCATTGCGAATCATTTGGAAACCTGGAAGACAGACAGAAGTAGAAGAAAGGCTAGGATTTAAAAATGTCTCTGACACAAGAATAGCGTGGATATTTTTGTTGTCAAACGTAGCTAGCATGTCCGCATAATGTGCTGGAATACTCTGCGCGTTGATGTGTACTACATTGAAATTCTTAGGAACTTCTGAGAAGGTGTTATGCAGCAGCTCATCAAGGGCAGGCAAACTGTGGAAGCTATCGTCTGAAGACTCAGAGGAGCAAGACATATATAAGTCACTTAGATTACATATTGATATATCCATAGTTAATTGGTATATAAGTAATAACAAAATATTAATAAAATAATACTAAAAATAAAAAAAAATAAAAATAAATAAATAAAAACAAAAATAAAATGAAAATAGAGTGAATGAATTAATAATATATAAAAATAATAATAACAATAGATTAAAATAAAAATCAAATAATATAATTTGTATCCGCCAGCCGCCCAGAAGCCACGAAACAACATTAAAAATTAAAAATTACAAAAACATCACAACAAAAGCACAGAATGGAACATAATTGTAAGTCAATGAATGGAACGCACTATTTACCATCCTTCTATGAACGCTACAGATAAAATAAAAAAAAAAAATATAAATCTGGACAATTTGACACACAGATTGCGAAATGTATAAAATGAGCAAGCGAGACAGAAAATACGTAAATGAATGTGATAAATATGACAAAACAACAGCTCATCCATACGAAAGCAAATTCAAAAAACAAAAAGAAAGAAAAAATAAAAAGTCTAGGTACTTTTTTTCAAAACAGAAAAAGTAAAAGTGGTTGTTTTGCAAAAACTTTAAAAATATATACAAAATGAACGGTTACTACATTACGCTACGACTAAATAGTACCCACAAGAACAAAAATATAAAAATGCTATATACTTATTCATGCTCTCAACATCAATAGACAATACAAATAAAGGTAATTCAGTGTTTGCTACATTGTAAAAAACATTTAAAACAAAGATCGAGAAAAACAAGACTTTGTATGTATTAATGTATCAACATTACTTAATATATATATATTCGTATGTACAGTTGATTTATTAAATTTATCTGTGTATTTATTGAGTATAGTATATTTCATTTCTTTACTTATCTATTTTTAGTGCCACCCCAAAAACCAACTTTCCTCTCAGATTTTCAAAGGTTAGTTGGAAGAAATCTCTTTATGGGATAAGCTCGCCTTTGTACACAAATATTTAAATTGTTTCTGAAAATTTGTAAGTTACTTTGTGGTACAATAAAGTGTTTAAATAAATAAATAAATAAATAGCTCCATACCTTATTTGTTGTGAAATTACTTAATTCATACTGGAATTTTATATATACATATTATAAGAAAGTGTTATGTAAGTACATGCATATAGGTTGTATCTGTGTAATGTCGATTATTCCATTTATGGAAAGCCAATATTTTGGTTGACCTGCCCAAATGGGATCCCCACTCGTGGACCCTCATTAACGTCTTACGCACCCCCCATATTTTTCGTTGTTAAGAACAAGTTTGTAGGTTGGAGTGGGCGTTGGCGCCCTAGCGTTCGATGTTGACCACTTTGGGAATCATAGTTCTATTCATCGATGTAATAATTGAGCTTTTCTTAGTATTACATTTTAAATTTATTTATTTATTTATTTATTTGTAGGAACACCAACAGCAAGTATATTACATCATTTACTACATTAACTTAACACTACACAGTCCTGATATACAAGCCAATTATAGGTGTACACAGCATTCATTACGTATTCAGCCAAGATATAATTAAATTAGACTTTAAACAAAATTAGACAATATTAAACAAGTTGATTTAAATATTCAAGTTAAATGAAAATAAAAATAAAAACAACAATACAATTTGAATATAATTAGTCCGCCACAGATAAAAATCTTATAATAGTTGCCTTGTACTTTGCCAGGGAATCAAATATTAAATTGTTTTCTAATAAATTTTTTGATAAAAACATTTGATCATAACGACGTTTACAGTCACGTACAATTTTTGTCTCAACATAACAGTTGCATGTTTAGTTTTGTTTTTCAGATTAAGCATTTTCAAATAGCCTGTTCTCAAAATTGTATGACATGTGTACATCAACAACATACTTCCTATGTCCCGCACACATTCCGCTGGTTGACACTAAGTTCTATGAGAATAGCTATCACTCCGCATCACACCACCAAATGCACATCGTACAGTTCGCTGTCAGACACATGCCTCTTCAAAAGAGTATTCTTAACCGGACGTCACTCAGAAAGAAATCAATTATTATTACAATTTTACTCCACCCCTTGTGCGTGTGGACAAAAGTTTGACAAAGCCACCCTATTGGTCAAAATCACCCCTGCAGAGAAAGCAAAGAGAAAGTAGCAAAGGGTCACTCCCCTCATTTGGACAGTATGTAAAAGCGATCGCTCGATTGAAGTGAACGATCAGTGACGCAACTTCGGCATCAGCCTTAAAGCATCCAACACGAAATTTAAAATTCCAAATTCGAAATACCTTTCATCTCGTAGGTCAGCAAATTACACTCGAAACCCTCAAATGGTTCAATTGAATGAACTATGCAAAAATTGATTCAACTTGAATTGTATCTAGTATTAGCATTCTTAGGTATTGCTACCAAGTATTAAGGTCGCCAGTTGTGGATAGTCACTGCCTACCCCATTGGGAGTCGGAAGCCGTGAACACTTATGTATGTATTTATTGTTCCGTGTTAATGTTGTTATGTTCACATGTCATATAAAATCATGTTTTTTTATTGATTGAACGCAATGTGATTTGTTGATTATTCTTACAAAATGAACATGACTTTGCAAGTCCCACTGCTAGGCACAGATCTCCTCTGAACAGAGGGTTTAGGTCACAAAACACGCCGACGGATTGCGGACTTCACGCTTTTTCCAAGGATTGTCTCTCTTCTACATACAGGTTACATCTCGGCGTTTTCCTAGTAGACATTTACATTTTTTTTATATGACCAAGTAACAGGAGTAACGAGTCGTGCACCTGGTGTTAAGCGATACACCTGTCCATAACAGTTGTAGTACCAACCAGATCTTTCTGGAAGATCTGAGGGGCACTGGCACTGCGCTCGACACCCTGACACATAAGTTTGACAAGTCCCATGTGTCTATAATTTCACCAGCTCCCTTACCCTTCAAGTAATGCTCACATTACTGCTCGGCGGCCGAAATAGATAAGGTGGCAGTACTTCTTTCGACGAACTCTTTCACAAGGAGTTCTACTGCTACTACATATAAGTAATGTGAATTCAGAAATGCTATCTAAAATATAATGCCCTGTTTTATGTCACCCAATTACATAATGCCCAATATTATTGCACAAGAAGTGCAGTGAAATCGTGCGACAATTTTTGCTGTCTGTAAGGGTTGATTCTTGACCAATGGGGTTATCACCCCTCGCAATGACCGGTGAACGGCTAAAGGGTGGCTTTGCAAAAGTTAAAATATTTGTACAATATTCGTTTTAACATGAAACTTCCACCATCTGCCTAAAAGTAATAAGGTACCTACTTGTAGCTGTATTTTTAATTACAATTAATAAGTGACATTTATTGGATTGCTAGTTCTTTAATTAAATAATAATAGTGTTGTCTAAAAAGATCGACTTCACAGACTCAATCAGTAAGTCGTTAATGTAAATTATACGTTTTCAACAATTTGTAGGTATTAATTAAAATACAATCATGTATTTTATAACAAAAATGTTTTTGTTTTTTTTTTTTTTGCTTTTTTTTCTTGAGGAGGACGAGAAGTGTTTATTATAGTTCTTATGATAGGTTGGTAGATCTCATGTCGCGCGTAGAGTTAAATCAAGTTTCTTTTTATTTAAGATTTAACACTGTCCAATATACACGTACGTGGTTTGCACACGGTTCGTCCGTTCGATCCCCGGTCGGGTCAGTGTAGAAAACTAACTACTATATTGTCTCGGGTCTGGGTGCTTGTGGTACCGTCGTTGTTTCCAATGTCCCCTAACACAAATGCTTTTGGTACTTACTTTGGAATCAGAGCAATGTATGTGATGTTGTCTAATATTAATTTATTTATATTTATTTATTGTCACACTTAGGTATGTTCTGTTAGTCAATGCGAGACATCTGTTTATTACAACTAGATTATATATGTAGTCCAGAAAATCTGTAATTGGCCCTATCACTAACTAGCATTAACTACATTTTAATTGTAACAGACTGTTGATTTCTGATGGAAAGTGACGATGAGGTCGACGATGGAGCATGCACACCTAAGTAACGCCTATTCACTCTGCAGGCAGGGAATTCGACTCCATAGCCGTTTGCCAAATAAATGTGGAAGCGTAACGCTACGTGCGAATCTTTGGAATATCGACAACATAGGGGTGGAAGCCAAGCCTACGCCTAGTACCCCGGTGATGGAAAGGGGAAGGCAGAATTAAATCATATAATTTCATCGCACACTCTCCGTGATACATCCTGTAAAATACCGATAAGCAGGCAACTTTACGTCGGTGTTCAAGGCTCTGCAGCTTCGCCTCCACTAATTCCGAGTCACCTATAAGCCTCTTGGCACGGTTATCAATTGAATCCTAAGTAGCCAGTTGGTATGTAGCAGAGCCACCCTAAAGGTAGCAGCCGTACTCCATGCACGACCGGACTTGTGCTTGGAACAGCTGAAGCAACTGTCCCGGTGTGAAGTAACGCCTCACCCTGGAAAGAATGCCAAGTATCTGCCGAATAATGGATGTATCACGAAAAGTCGGAGTCAGCTCAAAGGGACTCCGTTTTGTGGAGAATAGACACGCCTGCGTTTTGGTAGCGTTGAATTTGACAAGATTGGCATTGCCCCAATCGGAGACTGCCTGGAGTGTCAAATCTAAACATAACAATCTAGATAAAGAGAGAGAGAGTTAACAAAATTAAAAAAAAATCACTTGCGCCCTTTCAACTAACGGCTGCAGAATTGTGGTAAATTTATTACGTTTCATAGAAAGTGATGGAGCTCAAGTTGTTGTCTATGATGTTAGTAATGTAGTCCTGTGAGGTTGTTAGTGATGTACTTTACAAATAACCCTGTGCATGTCTGTCTGCGGCATCATGGCTCCCAAACGGCTGGACTAATCTTAACGCGTTTTTTTTATTTGAAAGTTTGTTTAATCAAGATGGTTATTTGCATTTGTGCAGGTGTTTAAAGATCACCAGCTGTTTTT